GTGCAAAATAACTTGCTGCAGAATATAGATTTTTTTTCAAACTTTTAGACTGCTTATCATAATTCAAAATAACATAAAATTCACAGAGGAATTTGTTTATTATTTGAGAGAATGCATAGAATGCATGATATAAATATGACCGATATTTGAAGTAAATTTCCTTGTAGCACAGATCTTGGCTACATAATGTATCTAGCTCTTTTGTAATTTTAGTTGGTGCACACGGCAGATATGATTTTATTTTACAAATTTTTTTTTTTTTAAAAAAAAAAAATATTGCCAGAAACACCATAAACTTGGTTTCAAATTCATTACCTTACAGAGCTTAACACTACAGTAAAACCTCCATAAGTGCACGTACTTGGGACCAAACATTAATATCATACACTTAGAGAATTATAAGAAAAGGTGTATTTAGGGAGGTCATCTATACAGTTTGGCCAAATTTGAGCGTGCATTTAGAGAGTTTGTGCACTTATAGAGGGTGTACTTGGAGGTTTTACTATATATTAAAATAATATATAAATTTTCTAGGCTCAATAAATGTTAATATCAGTGTTTAAAATTTACTGTGCAGATGCTGCACAATTTAAAAACTTTTTCTGTGCGAAAGGGATTGGTATAATAAATAGATATTTGGACAGTAAATTAAATATACATTTGATATGCAATAAGTGAAATTTTATTTGAAATTTTATTTGTTGTCAACTAGCTGACCCACCTTGTATTTGTGTAACCAAAATTGTAGATGTGTCAAAACAAACAATAATTTCAACAAATCCGCACATATAAACTGCTTTTCTTGTGCAATATTTTTTGGTAATAGTGATATAGAATGATTTGAATGCTTATTAAAAAATGAAATAATTGTATTTCCAACTGTATTACTTAGCTTATATTTTGTAACCAAAACCATCAAATCAGCATAAGCTTCATTAGAAAATATATCATATTTCTGATTATTTCGTCATCTGATGAATTATTTTGAATATCTTCAGAAATTTCAGTATTATTATAAATTTCATTAGAAAGATCTCTATATTCTTATAAGGAATTTTCAATATCTTCAAGAATATTAGTATTATTTTCTTCTAATTCAAAGAATATATCTTTTAAATGCTCAGAAGAATCTTCTATGTTATATAAATTTAGGAAAGAAGCATAACCTTCAAAATCATTTTGATTAGATACAAATTTATTAAATGATTTCGAAGTATTGTGAAATTTAATGTCTTTGAATGAATTTTTTTAGAAGAAAATTCACTATTTAATTTAATTTTAGTAATATCGAAAAAATTTTTTTGGGTATATTTGGCTTCTATCGAAATATTGCGAATAATTTCAGAACTTTTAATTACAGAAAGCTCTTTTTCATCAACAGAAAGAATACATTTAGACATATGCTTACTCAATCCACTACAAGTTAAAAAAGTGCAGTTGCAAAATGAACACTTAAAGCTAGACATTTTTAGTAAATGGAATTTTTTTATGATTATAATTGCGAATAGTTTAAAAATATTTTAATAATAAATAAAAATAAAAATCAAAAGAAAAGTGAAGTTTTAGCTTATTTATATTTTCTGAAAGCCTAATTAATCTTTTTTTTAAAATATTTAATTTTTTATGTTAATTTTATTTATTCGTTTAAATTTTTATTTTTCTTATTCAATATTTTAAATATATACGAAATTATTAAAAATATGCAATTTTAGAATCAATATACTAAATAAATATTTATTTACTAATAACTTAAGAGTTGATAAATTATTCTATTCGTTATAATAGTTATTGTTACTTTAGTTATCATTATGATAGTTATTGTTACTTTAGTTATCGTTATGATAAAATTAGCTTAGTTATCATTATGATAAATTTAGTTAATATTATGATAAATTCTGGTATTTCATTTTAAATAAACTAAATTATGCGAAATTACTTAAATATTTGTAAATATTTTGTATTTAATTTTGTTACGTAAACTATTTAATTTGAGTAGTATAAATCTGAGAGAATTGGAACAGAAACTCTAACTGTCATCATTCGAGTGATGAACATTTTGTATTTGCTTCGTCGAAGATGTATTTTGCTTTTCAATCCTCACTCGAAGCCTTTCTTTTATACTGACAGAAACCCTAACTGTCGTCATTCGAGTGACAAACATTTTGCATTTGCTTCATCAAAGATGTATTCTGCTTTTTAATCATCACTCAAAGCTATTCTCTATCTAATTTGATTACTAATTAGCTTTCTTACACTAAGAAGCATACACCTAAGGTGTGTGTGATGCAGTAGCAGAATGAAGTAGAGCATAGTTATCTTATTTGATTTCTATTTAGCTTTCTATCCTAGAAAAGCATAGCGACTCCAGATACAGAGCGTAGCAGAGTATAGAAAGCTTATTTGTTTACTAAATATGTATAGCATTCTGCTTTTCGATCGTCACTCAAAGCCTTTCTATCAATAGCAAAAATCATAAAAAAGTTAGACAAAACTCTAACCAAAAAGTTGGGACAAAATTAGATTTATTATATACTTATAGAAAACCTAACTGAAATATGTATAGCATTTTGCTTTTAATTATCACTCAAAGCCTTTCTTTTATACCGACAGAACAAAAAATTGGGACAAAATTAGTTTTATTATATACTTATAGAAAACCTAACCAAAATAAGTATAGCATTTTGTTTTCAATTGTTACTTAAAAATAGCAAAAATCGTAAAAAAGTTGGAACAAAACTCTAACCAAAAAGTTGGAACAAAACTCTAACCAAAAAGTTAGACCAATTTTATATATGATTTTTCTTAAGATGTTTCTGAAAACATTTAGAAATATAAAACTCTCTAATATATTTAGAACAACATCCAGAAATAGAATGAGTAGGTTTACTATATTCAGAGCAGGGATTATGAGATAAAGCTTTATAATAAAAATAGCAACTCTTAGGGCAAGTACTATAATGCATACAAATTTCACCAGAATAATCAACAAAAGAGCAAGTATACATAGTATTCATTTTTATATAAGGTAAAAATTTAATTTAAACAATTTTCTATAAGTAATAATAAAATCAATATGACTCACTCATAAACAAAATCATACATGTGAAAGCTGTGGGTATATATATTCAACACTACAAAAACTTCATCAACATTATAATAGTAATAAAAATCTATGTCACCACTGAGATTTACCAAATCAGAATCCAACTTCACTAGCTAATCCAGAAATAGAATTTCTTGATACATTAAGATTATTTGATCCTCCAGAAATTGCTGAGATTATTCTATCACTAGAAGCTAAAAGAAAATATCTCAAAGTATTAGAAATTTTAGAACCAATTCCACAATTTCATCAAACAGATATTTTTAGTTCCGGATGTGAATTATTAGATGATCATTATCAAGTTGAGATAGGAAAAGAAGTATATATACACAAGACTCTATCAATACTCTTGGGGTGCTTAGAGAACAAATAATAAATATTTTTAATGATCAATTTAACCTTATTCATGGCTTCAAAACTCGATTATGCTTCACAGGAAAAATGTGTCAATTAGTAAATTATCAGCAGGGGTTATTGATGATAAAATAGATTATAAAGAAGTTATATTCAAAAATAAAGCAGTAGTAGTAATTGCTAAAGAAGATATTCCAAGAATTGTAGATGAACTTATTTGGGATATTGAAAATTGAATAGAAACTTATATTGTTGAAAGTATTATTTAGAATTGGAAGAAGTAAATATTGAAATGCCAATCTTTGTTCTATTAACTGCTACTTCTCATTTTCCATTATCTAAAAGAATACCAAAATGAAATAATAGAATTATTAATATTAAGAATGAAGATAATCGATGCTTTGAACAATGTATTTTAGAAGATTTATATCCAGCTTCTTATCATCGAGAGTGACCTCAAAATCAAAATCCTTATTTAGGAGAGTTAAATTTCAAAGAGATTCAATTTCTAGTAAAAGCTGACAATGATATAATGGAGAAATTTGAGAAACAGAATCTATCTATATCAGTATCAATTTATAGATGGAGTGAAAAGAAACTTATTCCAATTAGAATTGCATCTAAATCTAAAGTACATAATAGATGTAATCATAAAGAAGAGAATTGTCAACCACGTAAATTGATTAGGCTTTTATTAATTACTGGAGATGACCCCAAAACAGGAGAACTATCTCAACATTATTGTTTGATTCAAGGAAGAGAAGGATTAAAAAAATTAGCAGGATATAAGACTAAACACAATGGCAGATTATATGTGTATAATTATTGTGTAAGCCACCAAATCTATGACTTCAAGATTGATGCTCAGCATATGAAAGATTGTGAAGGAATTAATACTCCAGTCCAAAGAACAGTAATGCTATTGGTAGGCAAGAATATATATAAATTTAGACGATATGAATGAATGTTAGATGCATCTTTTACTTGCATAGCAGATGCTGAAACTCTCTCTACTCTGATTGAAAAAAATCAAGAATTGAAAACGATAGCAATTCAAGAACATAAAGTTATATCATTTGATTATATAATTAGGTATAGTGATGGCAAAACCAAAGCACCAGTAAAAATTAGAGATAACAATCCTGCTGGAGAATTTATTAAAGCAATGGAAAAAGAAGTAGAACAATATCAAGACTTTCTCGCAGGAGGATATATAATACAAAATTTTGCGAAACAAT